ATGGTTATTCCTTCTTCTAGCAAATTCCCCTTGCCCTGATCAGGGTATAAACTTGAGGTTTTAGTAGTTGGCTCCATGGAGTTACGGCTTTGTACTAATGGAATTGTGGCTTTTCAAGCAGTGGAAAGGTTGGGCTTGGCCATGAAAAGCTGTACTTCTGTAAGAGCATAGCCTCAATTTTATAACTTAACTTATCTGTGTGAAATGAGCCACCTTTTTCCTGTGCTGAGTTGATTTCTTTGATATCTCTCTAGTTTCCATTCATTTTTGTGAGGACGAGGCCCTTTAAGTAAGCCAGTTATAAAGCTGACAGTAAAAATTTAATCCACAGACCTTGTAAACAGCCAGATGACATACATTTTATGCAGCTTTCGGTTTATTATGTGACCCAGTGGGATAGTAATATGCTTATGATATGCAGGCTTGAGACTTCAATAACAAAAGCCTTTTTTTTTTTTTTAAGAAAAAAGAATAGTTCTGACACGTATATCTCAGGAATATTTTCTTCAGATTTATTTTATCTCTTGTTATTTCTCTGAATTTTAAGATAGTTTTCTTGCTTTGCGCATGACACAAGAAAAAATATCATTTCTAGTAATACTGTTACTACAGAGCAATATATACTGGTGATAGTCATGGTTATAATTTTTAACTGTGATTGGGCCTGATGAAAATTTTATTCTGTTCTCACGAAATTAGTATTTAGTTTGTATAGCTAGAAATGTGCTAATTTGGTGATTATTGTATAAAAATTATGTTGAAAACCTGAAGCATTCTTGAGACATTTTATTAGGTGTTATAAATAGTGGAACACATTTTCTTATGTGTTTTCTACATCTGGAACAACAATCAGACTTGGTGCATAAAAAGATATATGATATGATACATAAAAATATATATGTATAGTTCATGGACGAGTTCATTTGTTATTACCAGCAGATATTTGTGTCATCGGTGACTTGGCATTTAAGTGGGGGAATGTTCTATAGCTGAAGGATAATGTAATTAATAAGTCTGAAAAGTTTGGCACCCTGTAGAAATGAAAAACTGAAGCATAAGCACCCTTTAAAAAGCTAAATTTTATCTGGTACTTGTAAAGTATATTATGCCGAGACTTTGACAAGTCATGCCATCACAACTCCGTTGATGGTATTGGAATCTTTGACAAAAATATTTATTCACCGGGGGCGCCTGGGTGGCTCAGTTGGTTAAGCGACTGCCTTCGGCTCAGGTCGTGATCCTGGAGTCCTGGGATCGAGTCCCACATCGGGCTCCCTGCTCGGCAGGGGGTCTGCTTCTCCCTCTGCCCACTTCCCTCTTGTGCTCTCTGTCTCATTCTCTCTCCCTCAAATAAATAAATAAAATCTTTAAAAAAAAAATATTTATTCACCGGCCTATGCACTAACAGCTTACTACTTAAAATAACTCTTGACTTCAGGCTGTATCTAGATGTTGTGGCTTTAGTTTGGTTAACATAGGCGTGAGGCTTCATGCTGTCCCAAGTTATTTCATCATCAAGCTACTAAATCATAGCCACACGTTGTATTGTCCTAGATTTGGAAAAAGAGGAAGAATTGGTTAGGGTGGAATATCATATTTTTGGAAGACTAAAGCAACCCTTTGTCCCAATATGGATGCTCTAAAGACAAAAGAGTTCCTTTCTTTTTGTAATAATATAATCTACTCTTTGTAGAAAACTAAAACATCAAAGAAAGGTATAAAGAAGAAAGCAAAAGCTCTGTCAGATACCACTCTCCACTTTACTATGAAAACCCTCCTCAGCATTTCTTAGGACATCTTCCTACACCCCATTCTTCATGTGTGTATGTATGCAGCAAATGGTATTCTATCTATAATGGTTTGCATCGTGCTTTTGACACTCAAAATATGTTATCGTGGGTTTTCCATATCAAAATAAATATACAGTAGCCACTCAAATTTAGTTACCCAGGTTTATATCTGCCAGTGGGCATTTAGGAGGTTTTTTAAAAAAGTTTTTGTTTATGTAAATAATTGCCAGATCTGTATCTGTCAAGGGAGTTAGTTAGTCAAAGAGTATGTGCATTTGTCAGTTTGGTCAACAGAGCCACACTGCCACTCAGAAAATGTACATTCCCAGTTATAAGATAGAAGATTGCTGGATCGTACCTTTTTGTCAACAATGAGTAATATCCGTTCTCCTCACCTTTGCCAATCTGATATACCACAGAGAGTATTTTTTTTTTTTTAACTTTCATTCTCTCATTGTATTCCTGGCTTTAAATACTAACAATATATAATCTGACATCCCCAAATATTCTACACTATAATGCAGACTTGAAATATTCCACTGTCTACTAGACATCTTTGATTAATCATTTGAACCCACCCAAAACTGAACCCCTTTTATCTTTCACCAGACTTGTTTCTTGCTTGCTCTTTCATGTGTTAGTTAATGGCTGATCCAGCCTACCATCACTCTGGTCACAATATTAGATCTTCTTTTCTGTGTCTCATGCTTCAAATTCAAGCCTCTCCACAAAACCTGTTGACTTTCCTCATATATCCAGAAATCTACCACTTCTCTTTACAATGGTAGCTACCACTCTGATATAGGCCTTAATTATCTCTTGTTTGGTTTATTGCTGTTCTTCTCTGGTTTCTCTGCTTTGCCTTGTCCCCCTCTATCCTTTTCTCAGCACAGCCACCTTAGTATCCTATTAAATGTCAAGTGAATCATGCCACTCATCTGCTCAAAACTCATTTGAGATTTTTTATCTTTTTCAGTGAAAGACAAAATTCCTACAGTGGCCAACCAGGCCCTATATGATTCGCTTCTCCTTCCCATTCTTTGCCCATTTTTTTCTGGCCTCATCTCCCCACTTCTGTGCTTCTTCCACATGTACTCCAGCCACACTGGCCTCCATAGTGTTTCCTGCCCAGGTGCCCCTGAGGGAGACATGCCCTTGCTCCCTCACTTCTATCAGTTCTTCTTTCAAGTCACCTTCTCAGCTGGAATTTCTGTTTAAAATTGATACCCCATTCTTTGAAACTTTTGCTATCCCCTTTCCCTTCTTTTTTTTTTTCTCCATAGCATGTATTTCATATTTTATCATTTGTTCCTTGTCTTTCTCTCTTTGCCAGTGTGAGACCTCCATGACAACAGGGACTTAGTCTTCTGTTTTTACTGCTACATCCCCAGTGTGTACAACAGGACTGACTCATAAGGGCATGAAGTGCATGGCATGGACTGGGCACAAAATAAGTAATGAAGGATATTGCAAGAGTGCTACTTGGAGGAGTCTTTTTGCCCCTTTTCTTTGGAGTTTTCATTTTTTTCCTGTTAATGTGCCATAACTCCTTATATTAGCAGCTTAAAATTTTTATTTCATGTTGCAAATATTTTCTTTGTCACCAAACATTTTTGCCTTGCAGTTTTAAATTTAATGCCTTCTCTCATCTGCATATCTGAGTTTCTGCCATGCTTAGAAAGCCTTTTCCTGCTCAAAAAGTATTTAACAATTCACTCATATTTTCTTCTAGTATATTTACAATTTATTCTTCACATTTGCAAAAAAGGCTGAATTGAAATGGGATTTATTGAAAGGGGTGAATGAATAATAGATCCAGTTTAATTTTTTCCTAAATGTCTATACAGTTCCCTCAAAACCGTTCACTAAACAGTCCACTGTTGTCCTACCAATTTGAAGGACCATATTTTCCTATACTAAGTGTCCATATATTTTATGTAATGAAAGAAACTTACTCTTTGTTCTGTTTTATTCCCAGCTAGCATGTTCATTTATGTGGCTAAATAACACATTTGAATATGTGTAGTTTATCCCAAGTTTTAAATATTTGTTCCCCTCATCCTTTCTCTATATTTTTTACAACTAAAAACAGGCAGGATAATCCCTTTTTCACCAACATTATGTTAATAGGTAATACTTATATCTTGAATTTTATAATGTACATTAAGAAAATGTTTAAATCTTTATGTTGTGAATAAAGTGCTTTATTTATTCCCTTTATTTTTATATCACATGTATCATAAAAACTAATGAATTATATGATTTGTTTTATCATCATAAGAGAAAATAGTTCAATTTTTGGTATTTTAGCATTTATGAGCATTGTTATCTTGTCATCCATGGTAGAATAGGATTTTATACACTGACTTATGCAAAACAGGTTAATACTGATATGCAGTAAAAAAGGTGAAGTGAATAAGCATACTGTTTTGTTGTTTGTATTGTTTTTATTTCTGATTTTCTGTTGTTTATTGTTTCTCAGTGTATTTTTGTTTGTTGTGTGTTTAAAGGTGCTTGCTGCATCTACATTGTTTGATCTCTGGCAAGTTACTGAAATTCTTTGAGCCTTAGTTTTTTCATCTGTAAAATGGGGACAGTAATAGTATGTTGTCCATCCAATTACTGTTAGAATTAAGTGAAAAAATTCATGTAAAGTGTTGAGTGCAGCAGTGACACAAAATAAATATTTAATGAATATTACCTGGTTTAAGTATGAGTAAATGTTCTAGTTTAATTTAGGAGGAAAAGGGCATCTAGGACTAAAAATTTTTGGAACTTATTCAGTGAAGTTGAGGATAGAAGGTGGAAACTGTCTCCTTTTACCAGTTTCCTTTGATTATGTTGAAAATGTTGTAGTAGCATAGGGAAAGCCTGTCCAGTAAAAAAGAAGGTTTAGTCTTCAGAGAAATTACAAATCATTTTACTCTGCAGAGTAAATCCTGAGAAGTCTGTGTGTATTCAGATTAGCATTTTGAGATTATAGGAACAATTTCCTTTATTACTTACCAAATTTATAATTAATGTGAGAACTTAAAAATAGTTGTTTTGCATATTTGTGTTTACAGTTTTATAGTGAAAGAACATCATCAGAAGAAACAAGATATTGTCTACCTTCCCATTCCTCTCCCATATCATGAATACAAGCTCCCAATTATTGTCATGATTAGATGATTCTAGATCCTCCTGACTCACAGTTTCTTTCATCCGCAGACCCATTCTGAAGAGAGACCATTCCAGTGTGAGGAATGTAAAGCTTTGTTCCGAACCCCATTTTCTTTGCAGAGACACCTGCTCATACATAACAGTAAGTCACAATACAAGCAGTTGAGGACAAATTGAATTATCTCAAACTTTGTTCTTACAACTTTTGAGAATGTAGGCGTCACAGAAGTGGACCTATATGTGGTTATGTGATCTGCTTTTGAACATAAACAGGGCTGGTAATTCTGCTTTTCACCTTTTCTTCCATTATCCTTGCTTCATTTTCCCACATTAAGATCAATCATTTTATGAGACATTTTCTTTTATATCATTTCTTTGCACTATTTAAGGTTTGTATATAAAATCTTCTCTCATATTCAGTAAGGTATCTTTGAAATTTGTTCTGAAATAGACATTTTTGTTCCCTTTTAAATATAATGATTAAGGAAACATGTCTGACCCTTTAAAACATGCAGATGTCTGGCATGATTTTATTAGCTCACAGACTTTTAAAGTTGGAAAAGATCAGAGTACATATCTAATAACTTCTAATATCTACATATCTAATAACTTCTTACTTCTTTTGGCAGAAGCACTTCTTTTTCTTTTGAGAGAAGTTATACACATATACACCATGCAAATTTGTAAGGCAGTTACACTCAGAGCTGTATTTAGAATACAGCACCTTATACCCACATCGCTGAAAGGACACTTTACATCACTGTATTTCAGAGAAAATGCTATTGCTAAGCTGAGTTTTAAAGTGGGTTCAAATATCAAAGTAACCGGACATTTGCTACATTACTCTATCTAAAAGTAAAGAAAAATGGCATAATGTAGGTAATATTTGTATTGATTGCTTTTGAGTTGTTTAATCAGTGGAACATCTTCTGAAACAAAGTTCCTACTGCTGATTAAATTTTTAATATTTCTGAGGAAAGCGAAACAATTAATCAGTTATGACAACTGTACAGATAAGATAGTGTCTTGGAAGAAATTTTCTCTGATCAAGTAGAAGTGTCTAAAATTCAAAATACCAAAGATATTAAAGTTTTTAAAAATACCAAGTAGTAATGATCATGATGAAATGCCTCTTTTCCTACATAAGAGGTAGTGTTAAGGTCTCATGACATTCTGTATTTGACCTTACAGCTCTGGAGAATTGGTCAACACCACTTTCTATTTCTTTATTAAGGACAGCCATGCATTTAAGAATTAAAATTTGTCATGTAACAGCAGGAATTTCCATCCCATTTCGCTCTCATTTAAGAAAGACAATCATTATGAGATGAATGGATTTTAGAGTAGGGATTGGGACAAGTGAACCTCATTCATACTATTAAGACTTCTGTGGCCAAATTTGGCCTGATGCTCAGGAAATTTTTCTTTAGACAGATGAAAATTTAATTTCAATAGCGACAAGGAGTATTTATTACAAGGAATCTGCTACTTTTGATTTCTGCTGATTGGTTCTCATATACTTGAGAGAGAGGATTGAAGCAGTGGTGTAGACTCTGCTTGCATATTCTGTATTTAATATAATGTTGATCAGTACATTAATCACAGGCTTTATGAAGCTGCATCAAGACATTTGGCTGGAAAATCAGCTTTGTAGTTGACTGAGTAAGTGGGTTATTGAAGGTAAAGTTAAACATCAGATAAGGCAGGTCAACTAAAAGGATAGGAAAAACCAGAAGTAGACAGAATAAGACAAAATACTAGATGTTATCTTACACAATACGAAAATTAAGACCTGTTTAACTTCAAAACATGCAGGCTGTTTTAGAAATTTCTATCAGCATTCTGGCTCAAAATACGAAGAATAGCTTGTCATAATTACTTTGGGAATTATTGCTATTTTCTAACACACTGAAAACCAAAAGGCAGGTTACTAGCTAGCTTCTTGGTTTTAAGATAGGAAAAATCCTATCTTTAATTCGGTGTTTATTTCTTTAAGGCAAAGAAATCTGATAACATCAGATTAAATCTCATAAGAGTTAAAAAATTCTGATAAGCTTAAAACAAAGAAATCTGGAATTAAAATATGAAAGAAGAAAGGTAAGGCCTCCCTTGGTATAGCTTGAAGAGGTCTTTGTATAGGAATCAATATTTTGGTTTAATAGAAATGCTTTAATAGGAGAAATCTTGGAGGTTTACTTTTTTGTTTTGTTTTTGTTTTTTATTTACTGAATTGTAAAGATTTACTCATTTATTTTGAGAGGGGGATTGGGGAGGGGCAGAGGGACAAGGAGAGGGAGGGAATCCTAAGCAGACACCCTGCTGAGCACAGAGCCCTAGGACACAGGGCTGGACCCGTGACTCTGAGATCATGACCTGAGCTGAAACCAAGAGTTTGACCCTTTGACTGAGCCACCCAGGCACCCCTTGTTTTTGTTTTTTAATTTCTCTTTGTTCCTGAGTTGCTTTGGTATTATTTATAGTCTTATGTCATTGATACTTTCTTTTACTCTCACTGGTTATACATTTTATACAAATAAAGTATTTAAATAAATCTAAAAAGGTATATAAAGACAAACTAGTAATAGCATCCAGCAACAAAAATGCACAAAGGCAACATACAAACATAGCTCTCAGAATCGACACAATTCTTGCATGGTTTGGGTGTGACTTTGTTCCAAGCATCAGATTTCAACAGGGCTCTCAGAGATTTTAAGTGAAAGAGCCATAATTCTGTTTGAAAAGGGTCATTTGTCTTTTTCTTTTTTTCTTTTTTCCTTCTTTTTGTCCTTCCTCCTTTAAATTTGGTATGAAGAAATAATAGGATCTTCACATTTCTAAATCTATGCTAGTTCTAATGGAGATGTGAGATGAGTTTGGTTGAAATTGAGGTAATCTCTTCTTTCAATGTAGAAAGTTATCTGTATATTTTGTCTCATAATGAATATAATATGTGAATCTGTACTTATAAATTGTTCTTTAAAAAGGGAATATATGTTCAAATACTAGTCTGTCTGGGGTGCCTGGGTGGCTCAGTTGGTTAAGCCTTCCACTCAGGTCATGATCCCAGGGTCCTGGGATCGAGCCCCGCATCAGGCTCTCTGCTCAGCGGGGAGCCTGCTTCTCCCCTGCCACTCTGCCTACTTGTGTTCTCTCTCTCTGTCAAATAAATAAATAAAATCTTTAAAACAAAACAAAACAAAACAAAAAATAAATACTAGTCTGTCTAATTTATATAATCGTGTTATAACTTCCTGAGAGATAAAACTGCTTTCTAATTGTGCACATGCATCGCGTAAATGTATTTCAATAGACCACTAAAAGGTAGATGTGTTTGTTAAGAAGACCTACAAGGATAGCATTATATGAAAGTTTAAAAAGTACCATATCGTACCCCTAAACATAGTTTGTGGAGTTGCTTTCCCTGTGGGCCTAGGCAATAGAATGATAACAAGGTGAAAACCCTCACAGGTACCCAGGGGCTCTTGAGTAGAAAAGGATAATTGTCCCAATCCAACTGCCTCTCTGAGAGGCAGCCCTCTAACCTGTCTGAGGACAGCCTGGGAGCTGAGCCCCTTCCCCAGCTAATTAGTTAATTAGCAGACCAAGGACCATGTTAGGGTGCCTCTAGTCCAAGTTCCTGAGATAGTGCTGAGGAAGTAAAGGGGTGTTGTAGCCCTTTCCTGTCCTAGAAGGGGGCTGGCTTTGACTTATTTCTGTGTGCCCTCAGGGGCTTCCCTCCCCACTGTGCTACCCATGACCCTATTCTGCCTGTGCCCCGTCCCTTAAAGGCCACATAAAGGTTGTGGAGTGAGGGGAGTTTAGGAGGGACCCCAAAAGCCACTTACTCTGCTTGACAGAAGCCTTTTGTCACCACAAGACTCTACTTACTTCAAACCTGATTCCCTGCCCTAGAAAGACCTCCTTTTAGAGAAAGTTCATGGTTCCTTTAGAAAATTAGCTAATTGAGTCTCCACCTTTTCCAATTAAAGAGGCTGAGAACATAAGAAGGTTAAAGCACTTCCCACTGGTCACATAATGAATGAGCAAATATGGAATTGAAAGATGTGAAAAATTACCTTTTCTGGTTATGATAAATTGTTAGTAATAAAGCTAACTTTTTGGAGAAAAGAACACTACATCTGGAACCCATGAGGGAGAGTTAACATCACCCTGCTGTTGCATCTGATCTTTCTCTTATCTGACTTTTTCATTTCTAAGGTGAGAGGACTTTCAAGTGCCATCACTGTGACGCTACCTTTAAAAGGAAGGATACCTTAAATGTTCATGTCCAGGTGGTCCATGAAAGACACAAGAAATACAGATGTGAGCTATGTAATAAGGCATTTGTTACACCTTCAGTGCTTAGAAGTCATAAGAAAGTAAGTAGAAGCCTTCTGTGAGTTTAAATGGATTACATACTTCAGCAGTATAGGCATGTATGCTAATTATCATGTGATAATCAACTTTATATTAATTAGTCAACATATTTCCTCAAAATGACAAGGGATGCATGGTTTATATGAGCTCTTCAAAAAATGTCTGTTCTCTTTACTTTTTCAGAAGAGATATATAATTCAGATGAAGGTGAACCTAGATTTAGGTATGGATTCTGCACAGCGCTGAGCTATGATGATAGATGGGTCAAAGTATTTGATGAGTGGGAGCTTGTCAATTTTTGTACATTTTTGAATTAATGTGGGTTTTTATCTAAAAAATGATTAGTGCCTTAATTTTATTTTTCAGAGCTAATTCAGGTGTTTATTGACAAGTTATTAGATTGAGCTCTTTTCTAGGATTGGAATGGTCCTTCTTCATCGTGCATCTCTAGGGCCTAGGGAAGTTCCTGGCACAGAAGAGGGACTTGATTAAGTATTTGCTTAACTCAAATAAAATGAGGTTCTTACTTACGGTGATTTGGAGATTATCTTTTTTGTGTTATGCTAATTACTGTAGGCAAATCAAGAGGTTATTTTTATTTGTTTTATAAGTACATTTTAAGTGTATTTTCAAAAATAGCAAAATTCATAGTGTAACAAACACTGTTATAAGTTTTAATGTTGACTCTAGAAATGACTATGAAGTAATAGATTCCGCTACTTGGTGTGTACTGCTGAGTGAATGTAAGGAAGTGATTCCTGCTTCAGTGTGACTTTTATTTTGGTACCTGTCCTTAGTATGGCTGTGTCAAAGGACTGAACTGAGGAACGTTCTTTTGCTGTTTCTTTAATGTTCAGTAATAATGATATTGTCTTCTTTTTTCAAATTTCTGGAGAAGATAGTCTTTCAACTGTCTTTGCTTGAATTACTTTTTTTGCATGGATTTAATAAATTTGTGTCATGTTTTAATCAATGTGGGAAAAAATAGTGAGTTTTCAAGAGAGATAATAGTTGTTTGTCCACAATCACAGATCGTTATATAGTACATTTAGCAGAGCATTGTTCATTTTTATCTGATACATTTATCCAGTATTGTCAGAGTGATCTGTTTCCATGCTTTCTTATCTATATTTAAGATATTTTAGTATTATACCTTAAATGTCTTTTAAAACCAATTAACCAAATTCCATATTGATACATTTTTTAATTAAACCAAAGAAGCATTTTAATTCTTTTCATTAATGTTGACTTAATGTTGTTTAGTTGGAAACTTATGCCACTGAAAATTAACTTAGGTCATGTAGGTGAGCAATGAAATACTTATGTAGCAGCAAAAGAAATGCTGTGGATTTTATAGAGATACTATAAGTAAATTGATAGCTGCCTCTTTGGAATAATCCAATGCTGCAATAATAGATATATACAATTTCTAAACAACCGTACACTAATCAAGAAAGAATTATTGTATTTTGCCCCTTCTGTCAGGGAATGAGAAGAAAATAGGTCTGTTATATGTTAAAATGTTATACCATTTCCTTTAAAATGAGCCATAATGGGGACCATGGGAGTAACGGCTCTTACTGTAAAGAATGTATAACTGTTTTGTATAAGAACTTAGAGTGAAAATGGAAAGTTAAGTTCCTGCCAAATGCAAAATCAAGGAGATGTCTGTTGTAGCCAGTGTCATTGGCTAGCGTGGCAGTTGGTTAGACTATATTTCTCAAACTTGAATATAATGTAAATCATTTTCAATGGAAAAAATATTTAAAAGGACACTGATGTTGACTAAGGTATTTAGTTTATAACTCTTTTACAAACTACAAATACAATAGTGTCTCTCCAAATGCACATTATAATTCGGATGTGAAAATTTTCCAATTAAATACCAATAAGGCTATGAAACTAATTATATTAAAGTTAGCAATTAATATGGAGACTGTTTTGCTACATTGGTGGTTTTTTGAGATGAGGTAACTGCCCTACCCCTTTCACCCAGTGCCGGCCAGTGCCGGCCAGTGCGTCCCTCCTGGGAACACATCATTTAAAGAAAAAACAAAACAAAACAAAAAAACTTTCCTATTCTTTTTACATTAGCCCATGGCTATGCCAGTAATTTGCACTAACCTAATGCAAACACAGGCCCTGGAAACTCTGCGTTGTGGTGGTAACCCAGATGATCCACTGTGTGCTTTCATTGATGTGTAGGTCATCGTTGAAATGAAAAAAATTTTAAAAAGTGTCACTGAGAATGTGCAGATACCTAAAATAATTTCCTTCTCCCTTCTTTTCCCCTTCTCCTAAGTTTGAAAAACAATGGGACTTGAAAAGTAGCTCTGACCCCCTTATTTATTGGAATGACCTATTTTGATGTTGGTAGAATAACTGGTCTCCTGATGAGATTGTGAGCCAAGTTTAAAAAGCTCCATCTGACTCTGAAAAACAAACAGGGTTCTAGAGGGGAGGGCGGTGGGAGGATGGGTTAGCCTGGTGGTGGGTATTGAGGAGGGCACATTCTGCATGGAGCACTGGGTGTTATGCACAAACAATGAATCATGGAACA